CTGGCCCCCCCCCCCCCTTTCCCCCCCTTTTTTTTTGAAAAAATTATGTAACCTTGTGGTCCCCAGGGTTTTTGTGGCCCCCTCCGCCAAGTTTTTTTTTTTTTGCCAAATTTTACCAAGCCCCCCCCCCCCCCCCCCCCGCGAGTGCATGATTTGGTCGGGCATACCCCCTCTCCGCGCTGTTCCCTCCTCCCTCTTCTCTGCATTTACCCCAAGTCACCCTCCCCCCTCCCGCGCGCCCAACCACGGGGCGGCATGCGTGTTCTTGTGTGTGCGATTTGGTTGCGTCCCCTGCGTCAGCTCGGGTTCTCGACGCACCGCAAGAAGAGGATGCGGCAGCTGAAGCGGCAGAAGAAGTCCGGACTCGCGTCCGCCGGGGGAGCGTCCGAGGACCCCTTCGAGCTCTTCGTCAACTCCACCAACATCAGGTCCGTCCGTCACTGGCTGACCCCTGCGCGTCACTTGTACCGTATATATTTGTAACTGTTTTTTTTGTTTGTTTTATGAACAGGGGTTGTTGTTGTTGTTTGCCTTCTTCTCAATCTACCAAAGCTGTCGGTTTGTCACGTATGATGCGGCCGGGCTTCTCCTTGGTGTACGCCTAGCCTGCCCGTTGCCTATTTGAGCGTCTTGAGAAGCGTTCAAGATGCGATAGATATATGGTAAGGCTGCTCCCCTCCGGACCCTCTGGTTCACCATCATCTGGAACAAGCCAGGTCGGTGGTTATATCCATGTATCTCTTTGCAGTATTTTTCAACGATGACGCTGTCGAGTTTTCGCGGTCGCTATATACATCTCTCTCGTACATTTGTGTGTGGTGACGTGCGTACCTTTTTTCGCTTTAGGTTTGTTTTACTGGAAGGATTTCTTTCTGTTTGCATCAAAACCGTTGATGTCATCGGTTTGCCCCGCATGACTTTTCTTTTATTTGTCCGGTGGTCGAACTGTGTCTCTGGGAAGGTGGTGCTACTACAAGGACACGGAAAGGGTGCTGGGACAGACGTTCGGTGTCTTGGTCCTGCAGGACTTCGAGGTGCAGTACTGAGCAGTAAGCCTGTTGGGTGTTGGTTGCTCCACGTACGCGTTTTGCGCGTGTGTGTGTATCGTGGCCAGTGTGTGTCGTCGCTATACCCGAGGTTGTTGCTGTACCTGGGATGCTGTTGCTGTACCTGGGATCCTGTTACTGTACCTGGGGTGCTGTTGCTGTACCTGAGATGCTGTTGCTGTTCCTGGGATGCTGTTGCTGTACCTGGGATGCTGTTGCCGCACCTGCGATGCGTTTGCTGTACCTGGGATGCTGTTGCTGTACCTGAGTTGCTGTTCTTCTTTCTTGCGCTGCTTTGGCTTTCGGCTGTGATGGGCCCTTGCCGCAATCGTGTGAAAACCAACCGCTGGCAGCACCTGGTGGCGTTTTGCGGTGCCTTGGGTCTTCGGAACGATAGTGCAGTGTCGCGCGTGGTGATGGTGATGGTAGCGGTGGTTTATCCTGCAACTCTATTGCATGGAATCGGGAGACGGGAAACAATTTGACAATTTCTTCTTGTGCATGTTTTTTTCTAGTTGCCTGAGTCGTGGTCGGTGGCACCCAACGTGCTGGTTAGGACCGTCGAGACTTAGTCCCTGACGATTCAATCGGCGGTGTTCCGTCCGCTCCGGGTTGTTGTTGTTGTTGTTGTTGCTGCTACTAATGCTGTTTTGTTTTGTTTTTTGACGCCCAACCTGCTGGCAAGGTGTATCGAGACCTCGTCCCTGGCGATTTTTTTCGGCGTTGTTGTTGTTGTTTTGCTGCTGCTGCTGCTGCTGCTGCTGCTGTATGTTCAGGCGTTGACGCCCAACCTGCTGGCAAGGACGATCGAGACGGTGGAAGGGGGCGGCCTCGTGATCCTGCTGCTCAAGACCGTCACCAGCCTCAAGCAGCTCTACGCCATGTCCATGGACGTGCACTCCAGGTAAGGACTGCCGAAGAGAGCTTTTTTTGCTCACGCCCCAACGACCCAGTTTGTCCCAGAGCAGCATGTCCTGGACAGGTTGGGACGGGGTGCGCGATGGGGAACGCATGTGGGTTTCTGGAAAGGAAGGAGGTCTTTGGGACACCTCGCTCGGA